CAGTACTCACTTGTGGGGACTGTTAATGAAAGGCTGAACTAGACTACAAATCTCCCCACCTAACCCATTTGAGTATCTTCTTCTTTTGTAGAAATGCAAAGGCCCAAGTAGGTCAAGTTCTCCCTTGACTGGCATTTCACTGAGCACCATATTTATATTTTTCAGATGGACACAGAGATATATGCCTCTAATCCCAGCAACTCAGGAGGCTGAGGCAGAAGGATCAAAAGTTCAAGGCCAGCCTAAACAGATTAGTGAGAACCTGTCTCAAAAAAAAAGGGGGGGGGGGGCTGGGGATGTAGGTCATTGGTAGGGAGCCCCTGTGTATAATACACACACACACAAATTTAATGGGGGGGGGGTTATAACTAATACTCTTGCCTTCATAGTTCATATTCCTTGATGCATTAACCTGCATCACATCAAGCATAACACTTAATAGGTTTTAATTCATTTCTACTTCAGAATCTAAGGTATACAAAGTTTAGCCAATTAAAACAATCTAGGGGCTGGAGTTGTGGCTCAGCGGTAGAGTGCTTGCCTTGCACATTCAAGACCCTGGGTCCGATCCTCAGCATCACATAAAAATGAATAAGTGAAATAAAGGTATTGTGTCCAACTACAACAACAACAAAATAAATATACATATAAAAAAATCTAAGTTGTCATCCACTGAGTGAAAATATACGAATCAAATCAATGCAGAGCTAGCCTTTTGTATACATTTAGTAGTAACGACCATAGTGAATTATTACCTGAAGAGAGATTAAGATTTAAAATAATGTATCTATCACTTAACTACTGTTATATTCAGTATGCCTGAAGTAGAGGACAAATGCCAGTGGTGTTCTTGAAGCTTAAGAAATGCTCCACATTAGAAAACAATGTGTTGGCCAAGCACAGTGGTGCATGTCTGTAATCCCAGCAACTCATAAGGCTGAGGCAGGAGGATTCCAAGTTTGAGTCCAACCTCAGCAACTTAGTGAGGCCCTAGGGAGACCCTGTCTTTAAAAGGTCTAGGGATGTGGCTCAGTGGTTAAGCACCCCTGGGTTCAATCCAGGTACAAAAAACAAAAACAAACAAACAAACCAATGTGTTGTCTAACAAAAATTTATTGCAAGTTACACTCAACTTTTAAAATTTTTCTGGTAGCCATATTAAAGTCAAAATAAACAGATGAAATTAATTTTAAGTGAGACGCAGTGGTGTACACCTGTAATCTCAGCAACTTGTAAGACTGGGGAAGAAGGACCACAGTTAGAGGCCAGCTTAGCAACTTAAGGAGATCCTGTCTTAAAAAAAATAAAATAAAATAAATAAAAAGCGGGGGTGGGGGGACGCAGAGCCGCTGGAGATGTAGCTCAGATGTATCCTCTGGATTCAATTCTCAAAACAATAATCATAAATAATTATAATTAAATGTCTTTAACCAATTATATCCAAAGTGCTATCACTGTCCATGTGTACTCAATTTAAGAAACATTTTCATTCCTTGAAATCTGTTATTTTAAACTACAGCATACTTCCATTCTGACAAATCATATTTTAAGTGATTGATATGCGCTAACCTGAGGATTATTAAAAAAAAACAAAAGCATGCTGCATTAGCAAAAGTAAGGCTATGAGGCAAAGATTTTCTGTAGTAAAAGGAGACATATTGGTCACAGGAGCTAGTAGTTAACTAAATTGGGGAAGCAGAAATGCAAATAACTGGTTATGTACTGGCTACAGGTGAAAATAAAAGGATAGTATATCTGTGCAAAGTGAAAATGAAAAACTGCTGATCAATTTATTTTCAACTTCCCGTTAACATTTTACCTCAGCATAAAGGTCGTATTTTTAATTTTTTGTATTGTTTTATTTTTAACCAGGTATTCACATGCAAGTAGAAAACATTCTGGTGCATGCCTATAATCCCAGGGGCTCAAAAGGTTGAGTGTCCCTACTTTCAATTCCTGGAACCCCATCCCCAATGAGAAAACATTCTAATTATTAAGATAAAGGAATTACTTAAATCCTGATTGGACAAAAAGGAATTTAACATCAACGATGGGATTCAAGAAAAAACAAAAACTTCCACAAGTTTCATTTCCACATTCCACACTTGAAACATTCTAGTTAGGAAATCTTACGAAAGTTTTTCTAGCTGTAGAAATTTTTTTTTTTTTTGGGGGGGGGCTTACCCAGGATTGAACTCAGGGGCACTCACCACTCAGCCACATCCCCAGCCCTATTTTTTTTTAATGATTTATTTTATTTATTTTTATGTGGTGCTGAGGATTGAACCCAGGGCCTCACATGTGCTAGAGCGCACTCTACGGCTGAGCCACAATCCAATCCAATCCCATCCCATCCCATCCCAGCCCAGCCCTATTTTTAAAGACAGGGTCTCACTGAGTTGCTTAGCCCTTCTCTTGTGCTAAGGCTGACTTTGAACTCCTGATCCTCCTGCCTCAGCCTCCAGAACTGCTGGGATTACTAGTGAGGGCAGCCTCCACTAGCAGCTGTGTTAATTCTTTAACATAACATTCTAAATGTTTTTATGAACTTTCCTTAAGACAGTTTGAGTTAAAAATCTCAAAAGTGGTTCTCCCCCTTGTTTTTGGAAGACAAAGCTAAGAAGGCACATCAAATCTTTGTATATTTAATAAGATCAAGGTTTTTAAAAATTTTCATTTGTCAATATAGTCCCCAAACTCCAACTCCTCAAAAATTCATCATCAGGAGGCTGAGGTAGAATTGCCATGCAGCTCAGCAATTTAGGGAGCTTGCCTCAAAATGGAAAGAAAAAAAAAAAAGGTCCCCAAAGTGCAGAGGATGTGGTTCAGGTAAATCTCCCCCTGGTTCAATACTCAGCACCAAAAAACAAAACAAAACAAAAAAACCTATCCAAAAGGAATTTCTGTGTTTCAACTACCTTGTTAAAAAGCATGGCCTTCACTGCCATGAGAATATACTCAATGCCACTGAACTGCGCACTTAAAAGTGATGAAAACAGTAAATGTATATCTAACCACAAATTAAACAGAAAAGGTATAATTCTGTGAGGTGTCATTAGATGGGAGGAAGGGGAAATGGGTGGGATAAAACAAAAACATATCAGCTTTTACACAATTTTCATTCGCCAGGAAATTACCAGAATTTTCAACCACACTCTTTAAAGGTCACACTTGGTAAGTCAGACCTTATTTACAAAAGAAGAAAACCTATCTTCTGTGTCTCAAATACTTTACTTTTCAACTCAGCTGCTATAAATACTCATCTCCACGGTAAACATCCAGAGCAGCTGCAAAACCAAACTACTACCATCTCTTTCATTTCGGTTCTAGAACTAAAAGAAGATTAGTTATCTATATTTTATAACTCTGGTATATGTGTACAAGTATATAAATCCTCTACTTATCCACACCAGCGTATTAAATCACCACTCAATGTACTGAGGATGCACCTTCTTGTAATTCAAAATGAAAATCAGCATTTTGCAGAGTAGCTTGTATTAGTGGTTATAATTTGGAACCTACATTTTAAAAAAGCAGGTTGGTAGCCCTGCTGCAAACAGCCAGTTCACATCAGCCTAATAAAATTTTAGTTTCTCCAAAGAAATAGATTTAACAACCACAGAACCTTTGGACAATCTCCCTCCCTCTCTGCCTTCTCCAAGCTGTTTAAAAGACCACCACATTCTTTCAAACATTTTAGATACAAAAAAAGGAAATTAACTCGCCCAAAAACGTTTATTCTTTTTTTTGCAGTGAGAAGTCTGTTTTAGGAAGCTTTACCTGTCTCACTTGTGAGTCAAACAAGACAGCAGCCATCTGGGTGTTTCTAAAGAAAATCTTTAAAGTAAAGCAAAACAAAACAAAAACCGCCCAACCAAGATTTCGTATTGATAAAACATCAGATGGCAAAAACTTCGAATGGGTCTCCAACTGCGGCTGTGAAAAAAAAAACAACTCTACATAGAATGACGAAGCCAAGCGGTTCATTGCACAATGTGGGCCAGCGCTTGCAACATATGAGCCAGAGGAGGTGGTAGTGAAAACACCACCAAACTTAGGGCCCATGCCGTTTCCCCAAACAGAGGGGTGAGAGCCACGAGCCTAAAAGAGTAGGGGCTGGTTCTCTTCCTCAAGAAGCCAAAGGGGAGCCGAATAGAGGAGGGCTGGATGTTGAGACCCATCTCTAGGTTGACTGAAGGAGGGATGTCAATTCTGAGGCGCTACAGTGTCAGCTGTGAGGGAAGATTTCCCTAAGCAGTTCGCCTAGATAGAGTGGGGTCTCAGTCCACACACACAAAGAAGGCGCCACTGCCGCACTGCGCTCTGGTACTCGTAGTCAGATCCCCAAACAGGTGACGGGGAAAAAAACCCCACACAATCCACAGACAAGAGTAGGCCCCTCTCCACTGCCTTTGCTCTTACACCCTCACACAAAGGACCGCGCCACCACCCCCACGCCCCGCCCGCCGGGACTTGTAGTTCCCGTTTCCCCGGCCAAGCCGCAGAGGGAAGTGGACCGACTACAGCTCCCAACAGCCTCCGCGCCCGAGCCCCGCACCCTCTGCCTCCATCTTGGCTGCGGTCGGAGCCTCCATTTTCACTCCCTCCCCCCACTTTAGTCACCACCACCACTACCCCCACGCGCGCCCCTCAGGCCTCAACTCCTCGCTACGGCTCTGTGGCCTGACAAGAAGTCTAGACGGTTAGACGAGGGAACAATTGAAAAGCCTGGGGTAGAAACTCAGGGTGAGATCTTCTCTACTCGGAGCTCTAGAGATGCCCACCTTGACTCAGAAGTCTCTCCCGTTAGTCTTCATCTCCTCATCCGCCCTTAACCTGGCTTCCTGCTACCCCTAATTAGACCCTGAGGTCGTACTCACCCCAACAGCTCAGCGCCCCCTCTCCAGCGCCGCCATAAGCAGCACGGCCCGGTACGTAGGAATAAATCTCGCTTCTCTCGCGAGAGTTGCAGGCTCCGAGCGCGTGCACGGGAAGGTGGTGATGGCGGGGAGCGTACTACTAGTACGCTTGCGCACAGGAGCCGAGTGACGCCAACCAGGGAGCTGAGTTTAGCCACAACCAAGATGGTAGCTACGTTCTCCTACATCCCCTCTCCTTGTACTGAGGGGAGCAATCTCGGTGTTTACTGACTCCGCTGGGACGCTAGGGGTAGAGGTAAGGTGGCAGGTGACTTTAGACGTCTCTAGCCTTTGCAAGGCTGAATATGTTCTAGGCAGCGAGACTGGCGTATACCTTAAGGGCGAACAATTTTTGAGGGTATATCCTGGAATGTCATAAAAAAGGATTTCTCTAACCAGCGATAATCCAGAAGTCCTCAAACGCGAGTTTGTCTTCACTCACTGGGGAAGCAAGCATTCCTTGTCTTCTACATTAGAGTAGAATTTGTTTCGTAGAGAGTCAGAATTATGGTAAAGTAATTTGGGAGTTTGAGATCTTTGTCTTCCAGAGATTACATGGCTTGCAACAGAGTGAGCAAGGCTGCATAATCACTTAAAAACAAAACAAAGAAACCCAAAACTCCTTCAACTGACCTTCCTAGCTACCGCAAGTTTTTCTCATATATCAGGTAATCAAAAGTAATTGAGGGGCTGGGGATGTGGCTCAAGCGGTAGCGCGCTCGCCTGGCATGCGTACGGCCCCGGTTCGACCCTCAGCACCACATACAAAGATGTTGTGTCCGCCGAAAACTAAAAAAAATAAATATTAAAAAAAGTTCTCTCTCTCTCTCTCTCTTTAAAAAAAAAAAAGTAATTGAAAGATTTAAGTCAGAGCAAAGGAATTACTCATCCGGAGAAAGAGAAGGGAGATGGTTAACTCTGGTCACGGAAAAGTTCAATGGTTTATCAAACAATAAATCCTTCTCTGATGAGAGGAATGCTTTCACAGATCCACTGTCTCTCTGGATGGCCTGGGCGGTATTAAATAATGAGAGTCACTCCCCTGAAGAACTTTCCCACTCACTGCTTTTGTTTAAAGAGTAAAATACCCCGCGGCTAGATAACTTCCTAGGCATATTTGAAGTTTGTTATTTGGAGAAACTTCAGACTTCTGCAGGCAGGCATATCTCTGGAGGAAAAAATTGCATCAATCTACAAGTTGTAGAGTAAGCCACCAATGCAAACAGAGGTTTTCTTTCCTTATCTGATCAGGAAAGCTCTTTTCTGAGGAAGAAGAGATAAGAGATCTGACACCTGGTCCAGGCAAAGATTACCACTGATCTTCTGAGGGCTGCTACCTGAGAAACTGCTTATAAGATAGCCTTTGATTGCCACGAAGGTCCTCTCTTGACTCTCCCATAGTTTATGTTGCTTCCTCTTCCCTCTAGATAAGAAGTCTAGACGGTTGGACGAGTGGGCCCCAGCCTACTACTCCTTTGTGTATTGCAAGATATTATATAAACATGGACAACTGTGTCTTTTATTATCTTATTAATCATCTGTCAATAGAGTAAAATTTCCAGAATTTCTGAGGGAAAGAGGAAATTTACAGCTTCCCTACACTTTTATCACATATATACAGCATTTGGTATGTGTAACTGCTAAGTATACAGTAGTAAAGAAAACTGAACATGATCCTGAAATAGGATAGAAAAAATAAAAAATAGGTAAAAGGAAACTTAAAGGAAGTTTTAAGACCCACATGCTTTTCTAGGACTGTCACTCAAAAAATAAATCAGTTATTCTTCCAGGCTTGTTATTACCAAATTCTGTGAAATCAATCTTTTCTGTCTGGAAGATTGAACCCAGGGCACTCTATCACTGAGTTACATCTCCAGCCTCCTTTTATTTTTTGGTATTGGAGATTGAACCCCAGGTTGCTTAATCTTTGAGCTACATACCCAACCCTTTTTTGTAATGTTTTTATTTTGAGACAGAGTCTTGCTAAGTCTTTAGGGCCTTTGCTGAAGGTGGTCTTGAATGCGCAATTCTCCTTCCTCAGCCTCCTGAGTCTCTGGGATTACAGGTGTGAGCCACCATGCTCACCTATCCCCTTTCTTATGTTTTATTTTGAGATAGGGTCTCGATAAATTGCTGGGACTTTCCTTGAACTTGTGATTCTCAGCCTCCTGAGTCACTGGGATTACAGTTTTGCACCATCAAACCTAGTTCTAAATTTCTGTGAAATCTGTAAATTTTAGAGGTGCCATAAATTCACTCGCTTGTGAAATACCTCATACTATAATTAACCCATCAGTAAATAGATAGATTAGGGAATCTGAGACAGGAGGCTAATGAGTTCAAAGCTAGCCTCAGCAACCTAGTGAGATCCTGTCTCAAAAAAAAAAAAAAAAAAAGGCTGGGCGTGTGGCTCAGTGGTTAAGTGCCCCTGGGCTCAATCCCTGGTACAAAGAAAAAAAAAAAAAAAAAAGAATATTTTAAGAAACCTATGATTTAGGGAACTTCCACACTTATTGATTGATCAGATAATTAATACCACGTCAGAATTATCAAACCACCACAAACTATCTTGTGATCACCAATCTGATGGCATTCTCACATGCATTCCCTTTCCCACCTCTCACCAAGTTTCCTTTAGAAGAGGATTCAGGAATCCCCAAAGCATGCTTTACTCTAAAGATGGCCTGCATTCTCACTTGAATGTGTATTCATTGCTTTAACCCCATCATATGTCTCTCTCGAGATAGCCCACATTCTCCCTTGAAAGTCTATCTGCTTTCTTCTTTTTTTTCTTTCCATATTTTTTTCCTTTGGTGCATAGTTGTACATAATAATGGGATTTATTTTTATATATTCATACATACACACAATATAATATAATTTGGCCAATTTCATTCCCCAGCACTTGCCCCCTGCCTCCCTACTGTGTATCTGCTTTCTTAAATAAATCTCTGTGTCTCTGACATGTGTAATATATGCCAAGGACCCCACCTGTCTGGAGTCATTCCCCATCTCCAGGAACTCTTTAGAATTTTTTCCAGTATCAGTCCTTACTAAAGGAATTTTTAGTCTAGCCTCATTAACTGATCACAAAAATGAATTAAAACATGAATGTTGGAATAAGTGGAACAAAGGAAAGATGCATAGTATTAAGAGAGTACAAGATCCAGTTCTGAGCAAATCATCTTGAATTTTATAAAAGGCAGAATCCTATTTCTATTCAAAGATTTCTTCTCCATATTCAATCCCATGTTTAACATTTCAATTCTGCGTCTTCTCTCTTCCCATACTTTCCTAAGCACAGATATTGCTTTACTTTCAATGATGTCATAGCTTAACTTATTATTAGTACTAGATAGTGATACTTTTGGACAGAGCATCTGACATTCATTTTTGCATCCCTGGTTCCTGATAGTGACTGGCCAACTCTCAAAAGCTTCTTGAATGGATAGCACTAGATGATAGCATGAGAAAGTGTTGATACTGGAATGTTCATTTGGGTATGGTGATGCATGCCTGTAATACCAGTGAACCAGGAAGCAGGAGGATCTCAAGTTCCAGGCCAACCACAGCAACTCAGATCCTGTCTGAAAATAAAAAATAAGCATGGAAAGCAAAATAAAAATAAAAAAGGCCTGGGCATGCCGCTCAGTGGTAGAGTACCCCTGGGTTCAATCCCCTGTACTGGAGGGCAGGGGGACTGGAATGTTCTGCTGGGAAACTACAAAATAGAAACATTTCAAATTAGTTGTTTTGTTTCCTTTGTTCATTTTATAAATATAGATCTCCCTTTCCTAGTAATAGATCGAATCTGAATATTCTAATCTAATGTTGCAGAAAATTTCCTTGGGCTCTTGTACTAGATACAAGGTCATGTGAAACTGGTCTAAACATAGAATTAGGTCCAGGAGGCACACACATGTTCAAATATCACAGCAAAGGGAAATGTAAAACATAACTCACCATATTCTTTTAGTACAATTCCTATTAATAAAAAAGGATAAAGACTTGATTTCCACTATTTCACATAACTTCTTGTTTTGGCGCAGAGGATTAAACCCAGGAGTGCTTAACCACGGAGCCATATCCCCAGCCCTTTTTATTTTTTGAGACAGGGTCTCACTAAGTTGCCCAGACTGGCCTGGAACTTGGGATTCTCCTACCTCAGATTCCCTAGTCACTGCGATGACAGGTGTGTACCTCTGCACCTGGCCCATTATACATAACTTTATAAAGACCTTAAACAGTATGTCCATTTCATCATCATTCTGAATATGGCCCAACTGTCTTTAGAGTTGATCCAAAATTAATATCAACTCATATTTAATACAAAATGTAAATACATATAAATCCAGAGATATAAATTTTAGCTTTTAATGCATTAAAGAAGGTAACATGTGGGAGAATTTGATTTAAATCAGTACTTAAAATTACTTCTAGGGCTGGGGATGTGGCTCAAGCGGTAGCGCGCTCACCTGGCATGCGTGCGGCCCAGGTTCGATTCTCAGCACCACATACAAACAAAGATGTTGTGTCCGCCGGAAACTAAAAAATAAATATTTAAAAAAAAAATTTCTCTCTCTCTCTCCCTCTCTCACTCTCTCTCTCAAAAAAAAAAAATTACTTCTACAGGGCTGGGGTTGTGGCTTAGCAGTAGAGGCCTAGCGCGTGCAAGGTCCTGGGTTCAATCCTCAGCACCACATAAAAATAAAACAAATAAAATGAAGATATTGTGTCCAACTACAACTAAAAAATAAAATGAAAAAAAATATTACTACAGTTATAACCCATAAATAGAGGCAAATTTTGTATTTAGATCACTACATTTTCAGGTAATGATTTTTTATATGAATTTTCAAGTCAAAAAACTGAAAATTGTAGTTATCTTTTTTTTTTTTTTTTAAAGTAGCAACACAACAGTGATGGTGCTTTCTCTGTCTCTTTTTTTTTTTTTTTTTTTGAGAGAGAATTTTTAATGTTTATTTTTTTTAAGTTTTCGGCAGACACAACATCTTTGTTTGTATGTGGTGCTGAGGATCGAACCCGGGCCGCACACATGTCAGGTGAGCGCGCTACCACTTGAGCCACATTCCCAGCCCCAAGTTATCTTTTTAATTAATATTTTTTTCTTAAAAACAAAACAAAAGGTTCAGGTTGTGGCTTAGCAGTAGAGTATGTGCCGCGCCTAGCACGTGTGAGGCCCTGGGTTTGAGCCTCAGCATCACATAAAAATGAATAAGTAAAATAAAGGTATTA